CGCCACCGCCGCCGCCACCGCCGCCGCCGCCGCCGCCTCCGCGGCCACCGGGTCCGCCGAATCCGCCGACCTTGCTTTGCCCATCGGCGTTGCCGTAGCCGCCGTAATCGTCGGCGTAGAAGTCGTCGAAGTTGTGCGGATCGTAAGGGTTGTTCACACCCTTGAGCGGCGACTGGAAATGAGAAAAGCGTTATTCCTCTTTCTCGAGCAACCCCGTAAAGCGCAATAAAGCTGCATTACGTGTAACAATGTGCTGTAGAATTCGAACACAGGATGAAAATGTTGACAATACGACGAGCAATATTTTCTAGTTTAATTGAGAGAACAGGAAGGAGGAAATTCAACACGCGCGGCGAGATACGGAACGGATGAAATCCTAATGCCTGACAAAAAGGATCGCCAAGCGCACGTGCGAGGTGTAACCGGCGTAATCGCGAAGATTTACAGGAAAGCCATGATCTCATGGTACACTCACGGTCTTAATGGTGGCGATCAATTCGCGTATGCATTCGATGCACGTCGTTGGCTTCCCGCAGATGCTGATGAGGCGGTCCGTGCTGCGAGGGCAGGTGTTCGAATAGATCTTGATTCTCGCTCCGGTTTTCTGCAACAGAGAGAGAGAGGGAATTCGAGCGCGTTGGACGTCGTACGATCGCCGACTCGGAACGGAGACACCGGTGAACTTCGCGCACGTCGATTAACGATCTCGATACGCCGCACGGATCTCCCCCCCCCCCTTCTAAGTGTTGGCGGGAAAAAGTAAAAAATATTGTCACTCGCAGGGAGTGAAACGTTTCTCGCTCCAGGCGAGAGTGGATTCCCACTCCGTGCGAGTGAACGTCTCGATCAATTCGAGCGAATTCGTTCCTGCGAGACAGCGGAGGGACTTCTTTAGTTTCAAAGTGAAACATTTATCCGATAATTCATGGAATGGAGAATCCGTTCTGTACGGACGAGAAATCATTCAGATCTGATCCTTTCGCTCGACTTTTCGAGCGAAAATTACCGTTCGAAATGAAATCCGAGAAATTGCGCGAGTATTTCGATGAATCCGAGCAAATCTGTCGATGCGAGACGACGGATTACTTCAGATTCGCTCTTCAGTTTCGAGTGAAAATATTCACTCGACGACTCGGAGCGGAAGATTCACTCAGCATGAGTGAAGAATCGCTCAAATTTCGTAGTCACTTTACCTTCCGAGTGGAATTCCACTCCGAGTGATTCCCAAGGCGATCGGATAAAGTCGAGTTCCACGAGTCTGTTGATCGTTCGATAATGCAGTCTGAATCACACGGTGAGTGCATAGCCCTACACACACACCTAGCCTTCAGATCTCGGACGAGAAGTACACGCGCGTCTGGTTAACGACTTAACGATGCTCGAGTGTTTTTGTACCTGCTGCAGTGATCTGCGCTCCTTGCCGCACGCGGCTCCTAACTAATACCTTGAGACGACAATGGTCGGATCGCGTGTTGATAGCCGCTTAACCATCTACCCTCCCCGCGAGGATCGTGTTCACACTATACGCTACCTCTGAGATGAATAAGAACAAAAAAGAAAAGAAAAGGAAAAAGATGAAAGGAAATACCGCTGTTTTGCGACTTGCACGTGCACTCAACGGCTGTTGAATTTTTCATCGGTTAGTTTCGACCTATTTTCGATCTGTCACTCACGTCGTAATCAGCACGTATCAACTATCCGCGACCGAAGATAACGAGTGAAATTTATGGCGACGCGAAGTCGAATATGTTAGTGGCCCCGTGTTACACGTGCATTGGTGCGCACAGTTGGGGAATAACGCGTCACCTGTAAGGCGACGCCGTAATACACGACTTTTCCCGGGCAACGCGTTACGGCATCACTTCTCCTCGCCGGTACGACGAGTTATTCTTTCCAAATGAGCAACGGCAGGGTAACGTTAACGAGTTCGCCTACTCTTTTTCCTTTTTTTTTCCATCCAATGACTAACAACGAGTAACTGTAACGAGTCACTTTTCAGAAGTAACTTCCGCTGGGCGCGTTTGCACGGGAGACGCGGAACGACGAGAGACGGCGGTGTGCACGCACACAAATACGCGGCACAAACACGACGTAGATTTGACGCGAATAACGCAAAAACGAAAAATTGCCGATAACATCGACAGCCGTGCTCAAACGCGAAATATCCGAAACAGATAACGATCTAGCTCACCGTCCGGCACACGCCGTGTCCGCCGAGCGTGTCATTGTGTAGAGAAATCGCGCCGTTTAATTACGCAGATCAAAGCAACCCTTCTGCTACCGAACCCTACCAATCTCCCCCTACCCCCGTCCCGTACAGGTTCATTCAAACGCTCCCGACGCAGACGCCCGGCAACATTGAAGCTCGCACGCGCGTCTGAACGTTCATTCCGAAGTGATAGAATCGACGGAGAAATATATTTCGCGGCGCGGAAAGCAAGAAAGAGCCTCGAGGGAGAGAGGGGGATGGTTTTATTTGAATTTTCGAAAACGTCGGCTTTTTAACGCGTCGAATTCGTGATGCAGTTCGATGAAAGTAAAATTCGCCGATATTCGGTGACCGGCGATTAAACCGGCGAACAACATCGCGCGCAAGATATCAAAGGTTGATCAGTGAAACTCGTAAACGAAGGAGTTCGACGAGGTCGGGGGAGGGAAAGAACACGAAGCTGAGAGTTTGTCGCGCGCGTTTATGCGGTTTCCGGTTTCGGAGAGCGCGATTTCAAAGAAGCGTCGATGTGACGGTGAAACCACCTGGCGCGCGCCAGTGTTTACACGAGACACACGAGTGCGTGCGTATGTCGCGCCTCGGGAAAAGTTAAATTTGATTGTAATCGAATTAATTAATTTCGCTGTGATGCGCGCTCTCGAATCAGCCGGATTAATCTCGGCGTGAATATAGACGCGAGAATAAACGGCGACGGCTTTCGACGACTCCTGATGAATTAATGAATTAATGAATAAAGCCCTTTTTTGCAACCTACACCCCTTCGGTCCCTTCTCGACTACCGCGCGCTACGTATCTCTCTCTTTCTCTCTTTCTGCGAATATCGTCACGTTAAGTCTTTGCGTTCAACTACCGAGAGGATACGCTCGCTCGTCTTCGTGCAATCTCACGGAAAATAAGTGTTTTCCTTTATTTATATACCGTAATGCCAAAGTAAGATTTATTAGAAAGCCAACGAGGACTTTGATAATTAATCAACGAGACTCGGGGAGAATGAGAGAAAGAGAGAGAGAGAGAGAGAGAGAGAGAGAGAGAGAGAGAGAGAGAGAGAAGGGGGAAGAGAGAAAGAGTACGAGGTGATGGGAATAAGAGAGGAGATGAAAGCTTCTCGTTGTAGTGCTTCTTGACTCGCGTTTCTCGCGAACAAGACGCCCCGGGGGAATCTCGGCGGAAAACTTCCGCTCGTCTCGCCCGGACTTTCAGCTTCCGACATTCGATATTGGCGAAGAGAACAACGCGCGCGGATCGACCGTTCTTTGAAGGAAATCGGCCAGAAAGCGCGACGCGCGTAGTCACAGAGTGTTCTGCAATTCTCCAATTTACCGAATGACACGTTAAACTGTGACAATGCGAGCACCGTGCGATCTACGCTGAAGAAAATAATAATCGGCTGAAAAATAATTAAATATCATGGCCAGGTGAATTTTAATTAATATTAATACCTACCGATTAAACGGGAAGAACTCGCTCACATTAATATAATCGCAGATACATTTGTGTAATACGCAGAAAGAAAAAAAGAATCTTTATATAATAAAAAGAAAAAAGTTATCGCACAAACCGGCAATCTAAATTCAACGAGATTCCTTCAGTAAAAAAATCAGCCAAAGCCGAAATAAGGTCAAGTAAAAATTTACCAATGTCTGGACAAGTATTTTGTCGTGATATTTTCGTTATTTTATTTTGCAGTCTTGTTATTCTTCAAATATGAATGTTTAATCCTTGAACATAAAATATTTACATATATTCAATATATGTATATATATTTTACGTTGAATATTCGTATTTAAAAATCCAAACGAGAAAAACGTCTCAAATTGAATACGCGTTCAGATATCGGTATTTTTATCTTATGTACATCACAGAATGATGGGTCAACTTTACCTTGCGCGCGATGTTGTTCGCCGGTTTAATCGCCGGTCACCGAATATCGGCGAATTTTACTTTCATCGAACTGCATCACTATTGATCGCTTCACTGAACTAAAATCTCAAGCTTGTTTCGCACAAATATGAAATTTCATCGAAAGGAATTAGATGCAATTAGTTCGCCACAAACCATTCAGAGAAATTCGGATCTTCCGACTCGATGCAAATAATTCGTTTCAACTGAGTTTTTTTCAGAATGTGATTGTCGCCGTTCTCGATCGTTACTGCGCGACTCCCGAGTCTAAATTTTCAATTTTCCGGCAAGTTTTTCTCCGACGCTTGCGGAACTTTCGATCGCGAGACTTTCCCCATTAAGCTGACATTTTCTTGAATATTCAACAGTTCCAAGTGATCAAATATCCCGTGAAGTGTTCCAAGGTCGTGAGCTAATTACGTCTCGCGCGCAACTTTCTCACGCCGATCAATTTTTCCTGCACACGTACGTCCACACACGCACACACACGTTTCGACCTGCGCTACGTAATAAGATTTCGGCGTTATTAGAACATCGCAGGGCAGGATAAGTTCTTGTGGTAATTCGGCGTGAAAATCCGAGGGACTTCAAAGTCCATGGATTCGCGAAGAGAGAGAGAGAGAGAGAGAGAAAGAGGAAAAGAGGATAGCCGTATGCGGCTTTGTGAGAATAAACTGCGTCGCGTCGAAATTCCGCATTTGCTTAACAGTTCCCATCGCTGCGGCGGCGGCATCCGTAGCAGAAGTCTGGAGTTCCACAAACTTCCACGGTATTACCAGCGGCGCGATGCACTAATCTAAACATGAATCGCCCTATTCAATTCAATGCGACGAAGTTCCATCCGGTGGCAAGTTCCTGCGCTGCCAACTGCACTTACGTAAATGCTAAACGAGTTGAGGATATATCCGGGGCCCGATGTTTGCCTATTAGAGCGTCGCGACGGTAAAAAGAAGCCGGCGATTAATTGGAGCGATGTATACTAGATGCCCTGGTAATACCGTAATCTAGTCTTTCATGGAAGCCGTGATATGCCGGCGATGTTTCCTCGGTCGACTTCGGGTTTCGCGCAGAATCTGGCTGTGCTCTCCGACTTTCGGCGTTCTCGAGGAAATTTGGACGGCGCGAGGACGCTTTGCGCGGACGACTCGCTGAGGTTGCGAGGAACGCGGATATCGCGGCGAAAAGGGAAAGTACGAAACATATCGGCGAATTAATCAGTGTTCGCGATGAAAAATTCGGACGTTATCGTTCGTAATTCTATACCGTGCAAATGACTTCGTGACAAGTCGGCCGACCTGCCGGCGGAAAAAACACCTGCATGCATTTTCATGAAACCGAGGGTTCACTGAGGTGGTGTCCCTCCGGCTCGGATTCACGCGCATTCGCGTCCGTTTGCCTGGGTGAGGCGATTATTCGATTCGTCGCACGGATCGTAGCGTCAGCACGGTGATTCAGCGGTATCGCGGTGAGTTTCAGGGTGACATACACGCGCACGACTTTCTCGAAAAAACGAACGTGTCGAACGGCGAGAAGCCCAGTCAACCGGTCGATCTGCGGCAACAGCAGTTTTTGCTCCACGACGAGGTACGTATAACGTTTCTTCCTCGAGCGCACCGAGCGCTCGCTACAAATCGCGAGCGTGATCTGTGTAAATGTGAACAAACTCGATGAATCTCCGAAAGATATTCCCGTTTTACAAATCGACGCCGGCACGGCCAGCCGAACGCGATCGTTTCGGCAAATATTCGCGCCAGATGATTTCAACGGATTGAAATTTACTTTCGAGACGGCGGGTCTCTCACAGCGGGTTTGAACGAGTATGGATAGATGTATATATATATATATATATATATAATGGCTATAAATTAAATATTACGAAAGGAAGGCGCGTAGACGTCAGCTGGAATCGCACCAGGATACCGGGGAGCCGTAAAACAAATAAGACGCGCGGGTAAGACGCCGCCTCGATGCCGGAAGGGAAATTCGCGATACGCGAGAGTTCACCGTGCAAGAAGCCGTGAACGCCGACGTGAAACGATAACTCGGCGAGACCCGCTTTCGTCATCGACGTCTGCCAGTGGAAACGAAGCGCAGCGGCCGCAGGAGCAGTGACTCCGAATGCGCGGAGACGCAACAGAGCGCGACATCGCGTCGGGACTTGTTCTCATGAATACAGCCTGTTCTCCCTTTCAAAGTTATTCCCGCACGATCTGATCGAGATCGAGCCAGGATAGTCGCGCACAAGCGTCGTAGGAAAATGATATGAGAAAGAGAGAGAGAAGTATGTACGTGTGTAGTGATTCTCGCGGGGTTAGGAAGTCAGTTCTTCAAAGTTTGGTGCGATAATATTTGTCGACATATTCAAAGCTTCGGGTCTTCGAACTCTATTCGGAGATTCGACGTATCGAATCGTTGAACGTTTAACTCGGGATGAATTTTCGATCCGGACGAGCGAGATTTTCAATCGATTAGAATAAATTTCCTCCCGTGAGACGGGGTGGAGCACATCAGATTCGCTCTTCAATCTCGAGGGAGAATACTCGCTCGACTAATTCAGAGCGTAAAATTCACTCGGAACGAGCGAAAAGGCGATTCCGAGTGACTCTGCGGTCGCTCTACTTTTTCCAGCGGAACTTCATTCGAGGAAGTTTCGAGGGTATCACTCGCGATACAACGGTGAATGTTTCCATTGTAATTGAGAGAACGTGTGTGTATGTGTGCGTGCTAAAACGCATGCGACGCGCGTAGAACTCTCGCGAGCAAATGTCGTCCCGGCGGTAACGGAGCGATCTTTCGTCAGTTCACCATGAGCAGGATCTACACGGCCGAGGAGATCGCCCGCGAGGTTCAAAACGGCTCTCTGTGGATAGTGATCCATAACAGCGTGTACGACCTGACGAAATTCTACGTACAGCATCCTGGCGGCGAAGAAGTGCTGTTTGACTTGGCCGGGAAGGACGGGAGCCAATGTTTCGACAGTGTCGGACATTCCGAAGAGGCTATCATGCTTCGGGATATTTACAAGATCGGAGACCTGGAGGAGGACGCGAGTCTGGAACAACCGGCACCAACGGCTAAACCAGGTTCGAAATGGTGTTCTCTTTTTCGCGAATTTCCTGTTTTTATCCGTCTATCGCTTCAGCCGTTTTAGTCGCATTTAAACGTATTCGCTTCTTGTTCGACACGTAGTTGCCGGTGTTTGGATTTAAATACGTATCTTTCTCATTATTTTTTCATTCTTTCTTCGCTTTACCATCGCTATCGCATTTTCGCCAGTACGGTGGAAAGTTTGCGATCGCTCGGTCAGAATAAGAAATCATGAATACTATATATATATAACAATGCGATAAGCGAAATAAATAACTGCGACTTTGACGTGTCGTTATTCCGGTTGGAGAATTAGTTGGAAAGACTCGCATCGTTCGATTTTCCACATTGCATTCTCATTTGTTAAAGAATTGTTTTTTGTTTAAGATAAAAAATCGGAGCCAGCAGTGACGCAAGACGAAGATTGGCAGTATCGCAAAACAGAAGCAAAGGAGAGATCGTTGATGCCGCTGGTCGCCACCGTGCTTGCTATTTACGCGTTTATAATTTACTATGTTTGGTTCTGAGTAAAAGATCAGACTGCGATATGTTCCCCGCCTGAAATTCACTCGACAGGCGCGATTATTTTTAGCGAGACTCTAAAACATGTACGATAGAATGAGAGATAGATTACACGAGATTCCCGTCGAAGGTAAAAACCAGGTTTTTCTATTTTCTCCAAAGGAACCTATTATTCCCGGCGATTCGAATTCTCTCCCTCCCCCGCCCTAAATCGCGCGAATACGCGCAGTTACTTGATGATTTATTTTTGTAACAGTGACGATTAAAAAGGCATTACAAATCGAGCATTTCGATCAAATTATATTCTGCATTAACACATTAACGGTGGGCGATCTCGACGAAAGTAGAGCGCCTAGAGCGGGCGATATTTTGTGTGATCATAAAAACTTTAAGGTACAGTCGAGCTAAATCGTATTACTACAACTCCCGCCTTTAAGCCGCAGTCGAGCTAAATCGTATTACTACGACTCCCGCCTTTAAGCCGCAGTCGAGATAAATCGTAGTACTACGACTCCCACCCTTAATGTGTTAATAAACTTCATTCATAAAATCTCTCGGAACAGCAGTCAGGCGTTCCGCGAATGTAACGTTCACGTATAAACGTTTGCATGAAGTACGTTTACATAATTAATTAATTATACATTATAACGCGAGGGACGCCGAGGAAATCAATGATATGGAAACTCGTCTAATGTTTTAATACATCGTGCCTTCGAGCGCCCAACAATATAAAGCTCTTTTTCTGTTCAGGAGATGATGGGTTAAGGTGATGCGCATTATCATATCTGCGATGAACTTTTAAACCAACGCATGCGCCTGTAATGTGATGGATTATAAAAAAATATTTGCGTTCCATCATATATCGAATGGTAGAAATTACGGATTCCACCGAGCGATTAAATATATTTCACGTAATCGTAAAGTTGTTATTATTACGAGGGTATATAATCACGCTAGAGTTATCGTTCTCGGAGACAAAATTTTACGTGATATCAAAAAGGAGGGGAAAAAGTCGGAACACATAGAGAGATGAACACACACACACACACACACACATATAGAGAGAGAGAGAGAGAGAGAGAGAGATAATCAAAATACGTGGCATTGCAGACTCGAGGCTCTTGCAAAATACGGTCGTTTCGAGCGACTATCGTACTTATCTCGCTGCGACACGAGCGCAACGGATAAATACGTGACGTCACCGTGACTAGACAATTTTGCATACAAATGGAACACGTGTGAGTATAGAGCTAGAAATAGCGAAGGCTATCCTGGCCTGTGAGAAATACAAAACTGAGAAAGGGGCAATAAACAAGCGCTATCGTTCGGCAGACCTTAGATTATCGCGGACGCTTCGAGAAACGCGCTAATTACCGAATATCATCGTTGTACGAATGATCTTTATCAATTAGATAAAAGGAGCCGGCGGCACGCGAAATTGTGTTTCGCTGGTGCTCATCTCCGTATCGCCGGGAAAAGAATATGATGATCGATGCGTCGCGCTCTACATATGCCGGCCGCGCCGAGACGAAAATTGTCCGCGTGACGAAATAAACGCTCGGGAGATTGTATAACGAGATTTAATGTTGAATGCGTCATTTAATTGTCGTTTCGAAAATATCGGCGATATTGTAGCGGCGGGGATTCATCGTTAAAGCTTCCGACAAATTCCCGGTTCCCGCCGGCTTTCAAATCGATGCCGTTTTCAACGGGAATCCGACGCGAATAAACAAATATAGAAACAAATATAGAAATATAGACGGGGGAGCTCGGTTTTATTAGTTTCATCGATATTTTTATTATAACGAATAAAATGTCCTCCCCGCGTTTGTTCATCCGCGCGCGCTCACCGATGCCCGATATCGCGCCGCGCGAATTTCCCGGGGAAACGACGGACGATTCCCGCCGCCTCTCTCGTCGTGCCGCTGTTCGAGAACTTAATCGCCGATCGGAAAAATTGCACAGGAGTATGAGTGCGATAAGTGGAATCACGATACGCGATCGAGACCGTCGTAAATGACACCTGCTGCGCTCTCTTCAGATCAGTTCGCGCAGCTAGATCATGACGCATTTCGCAATCTACGTGACTATCCACGACGCAGTATCGTAAACATAAGTTCGTAGCAGTCTCGAATTGCATCACAGCATTGTCGAAACCTACCATCGAGAGAGAAAGAGAGAGAGGGGAAGGGAAATGATTAGTTTCAACGTTGACCTAACCTCTACCGGGCAGTAAATGGACACAATGGACGGCAAGTATTTTATTATGATTTTGAAATTGATATCGTTTTTGTCAATCTTGTATAATCGCTACGACGTAGCTATTACAACGGTTGGCAGCGCTGCAGCTGGATAACGTGTAGCGGTGGGAGCGAAGAGAACGAGACGTTGCAAACGTGGGGGAACCATAAAATTACACAGCCGACGAGCCGGATTCCGCAGTATACGCGCGAGTGCGGCCCCGAGGAGAAGCTCACGCGATAAGCTGTACACGTCGCGAGGAATCCCATCGATTCGCACCTGCGTCGTCACCTGTCGTCGTCCCTTGGCGCGTTTGCACCGAGATATATATATATATACATAAAACTGTGGATCGTACGGACGCGCGGCCACCCCCGCTGATCCACCCTCGACCGGCGGTGAACCCGACGGAGAAAGAAGAGGTACGTTCGGACCCGCGATTGGATCGCGTGACGTTGTGAACTCTCGGGCCGAGGGTCCTTTTTCCATCGAGGGAAGAGAACTCCGGCGAGTTCCTGTTTATTTCAAGGAGAACGCGCGGGAGAATCTCATATCGATCCAACACGCTCCTTCGAATTCGTGCCTTGTTTGTCCGACGAAGGTTCTTCTTCTCTTCTATCTCTTCTATGCCCTCTCCTCTCTCTCTATCTTACTCAACAATGATATTTGATCCGCGAGTGCTCACTCGAGACGTTTGAAGTTTTAAATCTGTGCGTTTTTTTCTTTCTTTATCTCGCTTATGAAAACGTGACAACGAGATATCTCCGTGGCAAAAAAAAAAAACGTAGCGGACGAGCTCGTCCGACTGTGAGATTAGCTGAAGTTTGATTACCACGAGGAGAAAAAAGGCAGGAGGAGGTGAAGGAGGAAAAAAAAAACAGATCGTTCCGCGAACCGAATGAGATTACGCTCGTGGTGCGCGATTCCTCCTCGGTAAATACAACGGAAAGTAATACATAACTTTTACAGAGCGAGCGAGCTTTGAGAGATCTCTTTAAGTAAAATCTTCACTTAGGGAAATATCCCCGCTTGGAACATTTTCCGCGAGGTGCTCGTCGCGTGACGGGAAATTTCTTAAAGTGCCCGTTATGTAAATTCTCCGGAACCTATTAACTAATGGTTTTCGATCCTCACGAATGACAGGAGACATTGTAGTTCAGGAATTTTCCACGCACACATCGAAATTTCCCCGGTGTTGTGACAACAACGTCGCCGCGGTGTCGCGTTCAGTATGAGTGTGCACGGTATTAACGAGATACGAATGATATTTATTTATTACGACACTGTTGAGAAAACGTGCGCTCAATCGCGTGTCAAGAAACTCGCTCGTTAGCTGCCCGAGGCTTTAAAACCGAGCATTTTAAAACATGACAAGTCACACTCGGTAGACGTTCATCACCGCTCGAGGACAGCGAATTGTTGCGATTGTTCTACTGAGCAAAATCGCTCATCGCTGATTCAAGCGTGGTCCAAGACCAACTACTGCGACAATCGCAATATTGTCGTTACGCAACCAACTATAGTCTGTCGACTATATATCGGCATCCGCTTAATTACGCTCGAAGAAAACCTTCGCAGCGTCCGTGAATCACATACACAATGGCCGCGTACAGTCTTATCGTCTTCTCTCTTAGTTTCTACTCGAGCATCAGTCTCGCTCGGATGTGTCGATGAAACAATTTGTACCGAGGTTAAATTTCTCTCCAGAATTCACGCACACATTAGCCAATCGAGACTATGATCGCTTCTGTTCTCGCGCGCGCGCGAGAGAGAGAAGCTCGCGCGACTCGACGATGAAATCCGGCCGGAAGTTGGAGGATTAAACATTCACGGCATTTTTCGCTACCGCTTCGGGAATTTTCCCTTGTTCTTCCCCGTGAGATTTTACTTCGAGAGGTCGAGAGAAAGAGAGTGAAAAAACTTCGCCGAGCAAAATACGAAGAGCAAACATTCCTGAGTAATACATGTAACCTTCTCCTTCCCCCCGCAGGTCGCAATTGTAACAAGGAAACGCAGAGGAACGTCGGTGAGACATGGCGACGGAGAAATTATATACGAGGAGCGAAGTGGAGAAGAACAACGATCTCGACAAGGTCCTAATAATCCTGCACAACAAAGTGTACGACGTTCACAACTTCCTCAACGAGCATCCCGGCGGCGAGGAAATTTTGAATGATCACAAGGGCACAGACGGCACCGAGGACTTCAATGACGTCGGTCACTCAAAGGACGCCATGGACCGCATGAAGCAATTCCAGGTCGGCGTGATCGTCGAGTCGGAATGGATGAACCAGCCGGTGAAGAAGGGCTGGGTGGCGGGATACAACAAGATACCGGAAAAATATGTGAAAGGACCCGGCATGCCCTTCTACATGTTCGCCGGCGGGGTTATGATTGTATTAGCTCTCTTGCTTTACCAGTTTTAGTACGATCGTTCGTTCGTTATGTACGCGCGATCGTGACGGCGTCGTGGATGCGAAAAATTGTGATAAACAAGCGGAGGATGCTGCAGAACACGTGAGAACATTCCGTCGTCTTCGGTTGGCAGCGATTTCTCGTCCGGAGATAATAATTATCGCTCGTATGTTTGTAACGCAGCGAAACCCGTGATTGTTGATGTAGGTTTGTTTTTTATAAAGATGTTTCTCATCAGGATTAAGTGTCCGAAAATTAATTATTATATGAGAATGAATACAATCAAAATGTAATTTTATGTTTATGTGAAAATGTAAATGTTAAATGTTTCAACTGAGAATTTGTCGAGATCTGGGGAGGGGGATTCGCGCGCGAATCGACTCGAGCCGATTTCATCGTCGAATCCCGAGCATTCTTATGTAAATAACCAAGTTTACCCTTTGCGGAATAGGAGAGCTTGCCCGATTTTTACCGGATACAATCGTCGCGAATCTTCTTAGTCCGAAACACTTAGCGAAATTTATATGCGAACCGCACAAATAAGAGAGAAAAGAGAAGAAAAACCCTTACGTAACGACCTCGCGCGGCGGAAACGGGGAGCGTCCGGATCGACGAAAGTTCGCCTCAACGACAGTTCCGAAGTCGATGAGAACCGCCCGACTTTCGAACTCGGGGAAAAACGACGAAGAGGAGCGAAAAGCGAGAGCCGGCCGTGTAGACGTTGGGAAATCAATTTTGACGATTGTTGATTCGAAAATTTGCCGGGACACTTTGACGAATTCTACATGGAAAAAAGAACGCTTATGTTGCTGAAGGTAGAGAAGATAGTTCGAGTTGGAATGTACCGTTTATGCGCCTGTTAGATATTGATAAATCATTACGGATTACACTCGATACTATTTTCGCTTGTCTCCGGGCGACTTTTATCTGCGAGAGATAATGCTATCGATCTGTCAAGTTTCATAGTGCATCGCTATTAATCCGTGTTTATCTCGTATGCAACTGCACGCAAAGTAACGTAAGCCTTGCTTGTACAATCGATTAATACCACTTGTCGCTGTACAATGATTGGCAACTATTTAATGTTAAACAAAAGGACGCCTCCTTCGAAAGGCAAACACGAAATTTCGGAGTATATTAAACCGTCCCCCCTTCTTTCTCTTTTATTATTACGATAAACCGTTGCAAAATAACATGTATGTGTGTGTGTACATAACGACTTGAAAAAAAATCTCAAATCTCTCGCCTTGTCTGTACTCTCTCCCTCTCCCCCTCTCGCTCCATTTAATTATCCGTGAAAAGGGATACAGATCGACGAGCAAGGACGATCGGGGCCGCTAATTGGAACAGCCGGAGACATTAATGAAGGAGGCCGAGCGCCGGGGCATTAACTGGAGTATAAGAATTTAACAACACACATACGTGAAATCGAGAAAAAGAGGAACGTGGGAAGANGGGAAGAGACCCCAACGTTCGGGGGACTAAACGAGCTGCCCCCCCCCCCCCCTCCTTCTACCGGGTACATGATGTCATCGGGAACAACGAATGCAATCCGCGTAGTCGCGATATCAGCGATAATTACGATACATTTGCATACGCACGTCGAGTGAAGAACCGTTTATTTAAACAAGACCGCGTGAGCGGCTATTTCGATGCGGCTTTCTTCGGCGCGGCAACGTTTCGTTCGCTCGGTAAGCAGGCAGGCAGGAAGGAAGATAAGTAGACGTGCAGCGCGCGTAATTGTCGCGTCGATCGACGCTAATTGTAGCGCTCGGACATTACTCGCCACGTGCCGGCGCTTACGCTCTCGCCTCGAGCGGACGTGCGAATGGTAGAAAAGTGGTCGCATTGTTGCGTCCGGCAGACTTCCCTGTTTCAACTTCGCGTGCGTGCTTGTACGCGCGTGACATATGTGGAAAACCGCATATATCCTTCCTGTCAACCGTCGGCCATCTGCTTTCCATACGGACTTCCGGCGCCGGTGGAAACTTTGAAACACATCCAACCAGACGACGACGACCCGGACTCTGCAAGCAACCCTCCCCACGCGCGCTCCTCCGACGAGGTTCCTCGCGACTCTCCATAATTCTCTCTGTGTGTCCTCTTCTCTTTCTCACTGTGTGAGTGCTATGCGTCTAGTTCTCGTCGTCTCCGTCTAGCTCTGCGAACCCTTTGACGCTGTGCAAGGGATGGCACTCCCCCCCCCCTCTCTCTCTCTTGGCATGATGACGGTCTTACGGCGTTGGAAACACTATATCATCGCGCGCAAACCGCGACGTTGGCATTGTCTTGTTGTTTTACTCGCGACGTCGTAATGCACTCGCCGTTCCTTGAGCGGGAAGAAGCGCGCGGGCGACAACTGGCTCGAAAGTAACAACCGGGTGACAATGGGCGCGCTAATTAAGTTGAGACGCGTTCGAATTAGGTCTCACGGTGATTTAAATATGAATCAGCCTCCTTCCCAGTTTTGTATCGTGTGTAACTGAGAAACGCGCGCTCGTTTAACGTCCACGACGTTCTTCGTCGCCTCCTTCTTCTCCTTCAGTCTCGTGTCTCTCGACTCCTCAGCTGCGGCAAAGGATCGTTTACATTTAGAAGCCGCGGAGATACGATATTTTTTTCTTGTTTCTATTTGCCGGCCTTTCCACGCCGTCCCTCTCTTTGCGAGGAAGCGGAAACTCGATACGGAATCCCGATGCCTTTGAAGGATCATGATGCTCTGTCATTCGCTTCTTCACATCCCCCCTCCCCCGCTCCCTTTTCCTCCCTTTCCGCAAGCGTAGCTCGTGAGGAGCACCGACGCGCGCATCCGCGAGTGTAAATTTGTCAAAGGACCTAATGACACGCGCGATCCGGTCGGAAAGCCGCGGAGGAAGCGAGGTCCCGTCTCCGCGCTGCATTTCGAAGGTGCGCGGCGGCGTCAGCGAGCCATCAGGTCGACGACACGGATCGACAGGAGAAGTTTCGAAGGCGGCCGACGCGAATAAACGACACCGCGATGATGATTTCAGCTCGGCGCTTTCCCCGCCGAGCGAGAGAGGCGCAAGAACACATCGTAAGAGCGAGCCGGTGGTTTCACGCCGGGAAGAATAGGAAGGAAAAGTAAGGCGTCCGAAGAAAGAGTGCGAGAGGGAGGAGGATGGGCCGAAGATTCTCAAACGGGCGTAACGAGTTCCCGGCAGTTTCCCGGTTGCTTCTTTCTGCACTTCCGCTGTACCCCAACCCCTCCTTTCTCCTCTCCCCTATGCCCATTCTCCCCCTCATTCTCATCTTTCCCACTCTATTCTTCCGGTAGCTCGAGAAGCAGTCATTTTTCCAATCTCCCTCCTCCCACTCTCACCTCTCTTTGATAAAGCGCTTTAGCGAAACGTCGTAACAAGATGCTATTTTCCTCGCCGGCGACGAGAGAATAAACGGTGAAAATGCCGCTGGTAACAGCGCACACGGGCCGGACAAAGGGGTAGCAAACGTAGAGGGCGAAACAAAGTACTCGGCCTCGGAGTCCGCGTCTTAAGGCGTTACTCCGCTCGCGCGAAAAAGGGATACGATAAATATTCCGGTAAACGGGCCGCCGGCAGTCTTCCCGGCGCGCCTTCGAGGACGGCGATATTTCATGCGCGCGAGATGAGCGCGCGGCACGCACGCGGATTTATGCGCTCGTCGTTCCGGAATTGTTTTTCCCTCTTCGCCGCGCGAAGGGGGAACCGCGCGCCGGTCTAAGCGTGTGGCGCACACGCGAATACCGCGCGCGATACGACAGCGGGGCAGATGAATGCGATAAAAAGTTAATTGCTAGCGGGTTAAATAATAAGCGGCACGGTCTCCTTGCGCTGCCCACTTCTCGGCGTGTATAGGGACTTCCACAACTCGCCGTATAACGGAAAACAATTATTATCAAGGCAAGAATGTACGATTTTACGTGAAGGTAAAGTTTGCTTTTACACATGAAGAAATCCTACATATAATTCCACTGAAAATATCACATTCTTGTTATTCGAGAATAATTGTTTACGAACCGGGGAGAAAAATGTTCGGTATAAAAGGAACGATATTTTTAATCGGATAGAATGTTTACCTTGAAGGTGTCGTTCTTTCTATCCAACATTTTTCCACCTTGATTCATGAAAATGATCTTCGAACAGCGAAAAGATCTTTTTAGCGAAACTATGTGTCTATATGAGCGATGTGGGGACGGTTCTTCCTCGGCGAAAAAGTTGAGGAAGATCATTCACTCACGGTGATTTTTTCAGTCCTCGATACGATATCAATCTCTTTGTAGCTGAACCTTGAGTGACAATTCTGCCTGAATCGAGTTCCGCTTAACAAGACCGCGAGTTGTGGGGCAGCCTGTACATGGCGTGCGGATCAACGGGAAATTTACCGATACCGATCGCGCTCACGTCGGGGAAATGTGACGATGGTGCGCACGTGGCCGGCCATCACGTTCGACCACGTCAACGTTCTCGTGCGGATGATGCAGGCGGGGGAGCATCGATCGCCGCGAAATTATGGCGCGGTCGGTCGGAGCGGCGGGGTACTTGAAGTTTTCCGAACGTGAGTAAGTAGAGAAAGAGAGAATAGGGTGGGATGTAAGTGGGGGTGGTCGAATAATGGGTGCCGGCAGCCATTGGCTGTGTATGCGGCTTCTCGAGAGGTGTTTTAACGAACTCCAGACGCGGCGTCGACGTCGTGCGCGACGAACAACGGAGGGTAAAGAAATGCTGAAGAGTCGTTTCCGCGGAATCGACGTGACGAGAGAGAGGGAGAGGGAGGACGAATCAGTTCGTCCTCGAGGAAGGGAATCGCGTGGCTGAACCATCCGGATTCCCTATATCGAGAAGACACTTACCGATCTCTCCCTCCCCCATCCCTTTACTGTGCAACTACGTTCTCTATCCTGGAAGTCTCGCGCAGTTCACATTTCGGATGATAATGATAATGATGAGGATAACGATGATCGAAAGAAGACGACCACGTGGTGCGGAACTCCGTTCGTCGTTTTCAAAGCGGGCAGTTTAATATCGCTAAAAGCTTTTTAATAAACAGTCCTAGAGTCCGCGCGACGAGTGCGAACCGACGTGTCGTGCCTGATGTGCGCGCATGTGTGCGTACAGCTCGCGATGAATCGCCTTCTATACGAGATTTCCGTCGGGGAGGGTTGCCGGCAGGGATGGGGGGGGG